GCAGAGATGAGTCCTTCTGTCCAGCGAGAGTTTTTGGCGTAAAACTCTCGAACCGACGCGGCTCCCTGCAGGAAGGAAAGGCCTCATGAGTTTCCACAGAAGCCTGTCGGGTTCAGCAAATCAGGCGTAGGACTTTCGTAACCTTTCAACACGCAAATGGGATCCAGCTTCACGTCTTTCTGAGACTGAGACCCAGCAGAAACAAAGTGAAAGAGCCTGAACAGTCACATACAGTATGCAAATGACTTCAAATCTGTCCCACTTTTGTCTTTAATTAGTAAGAAATGGACTGACGGGCAGATGTTACTGTGTTTGCAATAAAACACAAATATAAAAGCACATTATTAACATGGAAAATAGTTTATATAGTCATAAATTGCATCTTAATTTCCTCATAATATTAATAATTTGGCTTCATCCTCTGATTATGAAGAAGCTTCTCTCCAATTCAAAGTGTGTTTTCAAGACATTTAAAGAGAGACCAGAATTTCTGCTGTGGCTTAAACTTGTAAACCACGATTACACAAACTCACCCTGCCTCCCTCCACAATGTCTTTCTGTAGGTCGGTGGAGGCGGTCACCAGGATGTGGACAGCCTGAGGGGATGGAGGAAGCAACAGGATTAACACCCAGAGGAGTTAAAGAGATCCAACCTGCAGACTTCTTACCTTCATCAAGTCCGAGCAGGATCCCAGGATGCTGAAACAGACAGAAAAAGTTGGCCTGACTCTACACAGGGAAAGAGAAAAAATAAATGAATCGGATTCAGAGTAATTAGTCACCTCTGGTTTACCTCCAGCTTTACACCTGTGGTGTCTTTTTTTGCTTGATTCAGAATCTCCTGTGAAACACAGATAAAGAAAAAACAGCGAGTTAGTCCATCAGGATGGGAGGAATCATTTAAGGTTGTATTTCCCTTAGAAATAGGCAAACACAACCTTAAATGTTCAACACATGATATATGACGCTAGTTACTGAACAAAAACAGAGAAAAAAGGTGTTAATGAGGGGTTTGCATAAACTGAATTCCAGTGGATCTTCAGGTTTTGGAATTAGTCTTGAAAATTATTAATGAGTTAGAGAAATCAGTCATTTAGTTAATTAAAGAGATTTAAAGTTTTCTAAAGACTTTGAGGTTTGAATTGAAGTCTGTGTTTTTATTTTCATTTTTATGTTTCAGAAAAACGGATGTGTTTGTCCTCACGTCCATCCGCAGAACGGCCTCTTCGATGGCCGTCGATGTGGCGAGCATCTCTTTATCCACCATGTTCCCCAGCTCTTCTTTCTGCACATCCTGGCCCTTTGGACGCAGATCCTAAACAAAAGGACCCAGAAAGTGTCAGTTTTAGCTGATTGGAGTCATGTTTTCTCGCACAGCTCTAAGTCAGGCACTGGGCTCTTGGAGGCATGTTTTTATCTTTTCTTACAGAAGATGCTGAATAGTTTCCCAGTGGGTTTTATTTCATATTAATGTAATTAATAGTAGTTTCCTTGTACAGAGTTTGCCTTCGTGTCTGTTCCTGATCTTCTTCTGTTTAATTTATTTAAGTTTTTGGACACAAATCCGTGCGATTTTTGTAATAATTTGACAGACATCCATGCTGGTCTGCTGATATTTGGGATCCAGAGACATCCTCTCGATCCTCATCCTTTAAGCTTGACCCTCTGAATTTTATTCAAGAACAACCTGATCATATTTGCCTCCTGAACGTGGTCACAGTGAGATTATTGCATTCCTACAGCCAAAGGCAAAGACGTCCCCTAGCTGGAAAGTCTTAGTTTGGACTAATTCAGGACGGTTCTCCCCACCTGTCCGATGGCGAGGAGGCGCTGAACCGTGTAGCGGACCGCAGAGGGGTCAGCCCTCTGCAAACTGGCCTGAAACTTCAGATCCTTCAAGTACTGGAGGCAGTGATTGGCACAGTCCCGACAGCTGTCAGTCAGACCTGCACCACACAAAGGAACCAGAATCACGTCTGTGGAGAGAACAGCCTCGGGGGGGAGGAGGGGGGCTCTTACCGTCGGCCTGGTCGGTGGGAGCCGAGTGGGAGGTCGCCGCCCCGTTGACGATGGTGTCGGCGGCCAGGTGGGAAAACTGGGTGACGGCTCTCAGCAAGCCACTGGCGTCTGGAGAGGAGGAGGAGGCCTTAGACGGGATTCCCGACGGGAGGCAAACGCACAAACACACACGACCTGAACTCACCGCTCCTGTTTCCCAGGTAGACCAGGTGGCTCTGCTGCATTTTGTCGATGGAAACCAGAGTGGTTTCCGCTCTGTTCACCAAATAATCTGAAACACGGGACGGCAAAAAACCACGAGCAGAAGTTTAAAGAACAGAAGTGTTGTTTCTCTTTCTTTTACCACAGTGGATATCTGACCAATAAATCAGTCACAATCAAACTAAAAAGCAAAGAGACGGACTCTTCTTGCAGCTTTGATTCTATTCTGAATGAACACATTTAGTTCTGGTTAAATAATTGTTAATGATGGCATTTTGTTGGAACTTTTAAATTAAAATATCTGGATATTTGAAGGCTTTGTTTCCTCTTTAGAGCACTTATAGTTGTTTGTTCTCTCCCCTGAGAACAAAGTCATCTGCAGATGGTCCTACATCCTCCACCATTTGTTTCTGGCTTCATCAGCTTTTGATGGACATTTCAGAAGCAATTCATAAACCAAAGTGATCTGAATTGATCTTATCTGAAGTTTTATTTTATATTCTAATGAGAAAATCTCAAAGCATCCACACAAGATCAAAAGCTAAAGGTGGAGACTGTT